CGCGCAGTCCTTGGAGCGCGCTTTTCGCCAAAGCGGAGCCAGGCGTGGGCAGCAGGGCTGGGACTGGCTCCCGGGGCGCGCCCGGCCGAGGATAACCTGTTAGGCGGCGGCGCCAGCGGCGCTCCCGCGGTGGCCAGCGGATCCTCGGGCCGCCCCAGAACGCGCCTTCGCCCGCCACTCGGCCCAGGAGGGATTTCGCTTGACCAGGGCCTCTGGACGCCCATTTTTAGTCCATAAAAAAGCCGAGTGGAATGTTTTGATTGAGCCTCAACATTGTCTTTGAATAAGGCTGAGACCATGTAATTAATGTGTCTTTTTAATAAGGGACAATACGGCCGTTCAAGCTATTTAATTTCATTTAATTTTCCATCCCATTTGCTGCACAGCCGCTTTTACTTTTAACACCCAGCCTTTCACGGCCCATCTTGCTCCACTGGGCACATTAGATTGGTTTCACCCTTGCTTTTTAGGGGAGGAAAAATAAAGGAAAATGTGTTCCTTTCCTCCTTTGTGGACAATTTATTTCACTTGGGGAACTTCAACTCCGAGCCACGGGACAGAATGAGACTCGGGGAGCTGGTGTGAATGCCTCTGGCGCAGGCCCTTTCTTCTCGCGGGGCTGGGAACCAGTCACAATTGGCTATATTAATAAATAACTTTCCTCACAGTCGGCCTTTACATGGTTCTATTGATAAAATTGTTCGCGTGTCGTTCACGCTTTTTCACTCATTAAGGAGGGCCGGGGAGGCGCGGCGAAGCCAGGCCCTGCGCTCGCTTCTTCCCCGTTCGCAGAGCTGGTAATTTCAGCTGGGTGTCATCTTGGAGTCGCCAGGCCAGAGGTTAGAGGGACATGTTCATGGCTTAAATTTATTGCCCTCCACTCTTCCTGCGGCTTCCTCTCCTCCTCCCCGCCCTGGCTTTTGCCATTCATGGGCCGGATCAAAGGAGCCCTCCGTTCGTTTAGGCAGCCCTCGAGGTCCACAGAGGGACAACTGGACAGTTAGAAGAAACGCGAAGGCAGCGCCCTCAAAAAGTGGCCCTGGCCTGGCTGCAGTACTGGAGAGCCCCCCTTGAGGGGCTCACACTTAAGGCTAGCTCTCCTCTGTCTACAGCGGTCTTGGGTCAGGTATGCATGTGCTCCCAGCTCCCCCGACCCGCTTCTGCTTGGCAAGCTTGAGACCCCTGACCTGAATAGCCCTATGACAGAAACCAAAATTAGTTTCGGAATTTTCAAAACTAATTTACTCTGCAGATTGTTACTATTGACTTTCGAAACCAACTAGGGCAAAAAGGAAGGAGGCAGCTTAAGGCCCATCTACACCACCATTCCCATTTTACAGATGGGGACACTGAGGTTCAGGGGGTGTTCCTGAAAGCTTCCTGAGGGCTGGAGGGGCAGAGCACAGGCTGTGTGACAAGGTCTTCTCTGCAAAACAAGGTCTTCATCTGCAAGGATCACTGCAGACTCAGCCATGGGAGGGCCTGGGGAAGGGGTGTCTGTGGAAGACAAATGGGCTAAATGACAGGTGTCAGCACCCTGCTCCTGCTCTCCTCACCAAATGCCCCTTCCTCTTGGGTAGAGGTCTGAGTAATCAGGGTCCTTACCTTTCTGTTGAGCCACTGGGCTGTAGCTACTAGGTCCTTTAAGAGCCCCAAACCCAGAGGGGGGCTGGAGTTAGAATTAGTCCTGGCCACCTGGGGTTGGAGAAGTGGCATCATGGATGACCAGAGTAGAGCAGGTGATAGCAGGACTGCCACACATAATTTAACGACAGTCGATTTTATCCTAGAAAACCAGACTTTCCCAAAAGCAATTGGGTGCATTGTGGTCTAACCTCCAACCATCCATTTCCCTGGTTTATGAACTACATCCCTTAAAGGCCAGAGTTGCCTTCAAACTCCCACCTCCCCCTCTTCTGCAGGGCAACTTTGTAGACTGCTGCTTTATTTATTTTAAACGATTTGAAGAGGCAATGTTCTGGAGAAGTTAACTGAGGGTTTCCTTGCCATTTCAACCTTGAAAGCAAATCAAGGCCAGGCGTGGGATGTGGGGACAGCACTTCTTCTGACCGTGGGAGAAATCTCTTGTAATGCTGGGGCCCCATTCTCCACCCCCTGGAAAAACTGTGCCCAACACTGCTGACCTCACCTCCCCAAACTGACCCAGAGGCTTCATATCTGGGGCAACAGGGGTCGGAGGGAAACGATAAAGCGGTTCTAAACAGATGACTGGCCTGAACCCAATACCCTGGAATGGTAATATGGTCGTTATTTAAAAAGTGTAGGTATTTTCTGGTGTTTTCCCATCAAGTACCTGCCTAATTTCTGTATGGCACACGCCAGAAATCAATAGAAGTTAACAAGTCCTCCAAATAGTCCCCGTCTCTTTGTTTAATCTCCTTTACAATAAAGCCAAGGGGAGAGAATTAAAAATCTTTGAAGTAGTCCAAGGCTCAAAAGAATCAGCCAAGTAGACTTAAAGTAGTCACTTATTTCCCAAAACTGGTTTGTCGGGGAACAATAAAAGGAAGTAAAATTTATGGAGAAATTATACAGTGGATTTGTCACTTAAAATATCGTAACTGTCTCAGGGACAATACCCCATGCTGAGGATTAATGGTCCCGCCGGACCTTTGATTCACCAGCGCCTTTTCTTCGCCCTTGACAAATTGGATTTTTAGGAATGGGAAGGTCGCCTGGACCATTGTGCGCCAGCCATTGAGAAGCCGCGATTATGCAGGGGGCTGAGGGAACCGCTCCATGTGACCCTCTCCGGTGGGACTCTGCAGCTGCTTCGCAGCGCGACTCTCTCACCAAACTCCGCGCCCTGGCGGTCGCGGTGCCAAAAGGCGCCCGCCCGCATTGAAAAGGCGCAGCGCCTGCCCGCCCGCGTCACTCCGCGGGCGGAGGACGCACGTCGGGGCGCGGCTGCCCAGCCCGCGACACTAGGGCTCCATCACTCGCGCCCTGCGGAGGACCCGGCGCGCCCGCGCCTGCCTGGTGGTGCAGCGATGCACGGGGCCGCCCGCGCGGCCGCCCCGAGCGTGAGCGCCGACTGCTGCATCCCCGCCGGCCTGCGCCTGGGGCCGGTGCCCGGCACCTTCAAGCTGGGCAAGTACCTGTCAGACCGCAGAGAGCCCGGGCCCAAGAAAAAGGTAAAGCCCCCCCCCCCCCACCGCCCTCCCCTCCCCAGTCCCGGGAAGACGCTCGCAGGGAGGCCTGGCAAGGGAGCAATGACAGAGTTGTTACCTGCCAGTTCCCAGGGGGTGAAAGGGGGACACGGATTATCCCAGTAAATCGCGTTTCAATGAGAGCGGGCAGCAGCCCGGTGGAGGACGGTCCCTGGTTGCGAGGCGACAAGTCAGTGCCAGGATCTCTCAAGACTCGCAGCTCCCCCCCCCCCGCTGTCGCCCTCCACGCCCTTCGCGCTCTGGGGTCTCCTCTGTGGAGACAGGGACCCAGCCACGCACTCTGAAGATGTGCCCCGTTTTACTGGGCGCAGGGCAGCGAGGACTGTCTGCCTTCCACCCTTCAATAAACTAATATAAAGCTTTAATTCGTCCACAAATCATGTCATCCCAGCTCTTGAAAGAACGAACGAAAGAAAAATCCAGGAGGTTATTACTCCCTCGACCTCTCTCTTGGCGGCTGTCTGTGGGATTGGGATGAACACGGGGCGCACCAGGTTGGGGCTTTGGCGCAGCCCCAAGTTCTCTCGCAGGGGAGGGGACGGGCTGTAGGTCGGTCGGCCCCCAGTTAGGATGAGAGTTCAGGGGCCAAAGCCCAACCTGTAGGCGCGACGCCCTCCCCCTCCAAAAAAGCCCCAAACCCAGTGCTGAGACCAGAGAGGGCACTTAGGCCCACTCCGGCCCAGGCACCCAGCCGCTGGAGTGGGGCTGGCAGGGCCGCCGGGGAAATGAGGGAGGAGGGAAAGGCCGCAGTGGCCTTAACTTGCTGCTGCCTAAGCTTCCTTGGCTGAAATGGCTCCCGGTGCGGTGCCCACACCCGCGGGATCTGTCTCTCCTTCCCTGGCACCCACCTTCTTTCTCCTCGTCGGAAGCTGCTGTTGGCTGCACACCAGCCCTTCTTGCCTAAATTCGCTTTAATTGCTGAGCTATTTTATATAATAGGCATTGTCCGGGCTAAAAATTGCAAGTATTCTTTTTCTATTTACCATTTATCTTTTGACTTTACCTATGATTTTTTTTGGGGGGCGCTATACAGTGGTTTATGTTTCAATACTATGTAATGTTTAGAGCCTAATTTATCAATCTGGATCTTATCAGCCTGAAAGTAGAATGTTTTTTGGATTGCAGTATCTTTTCAGAGTTTTTGGCTTATCTTTTCAAACTTAAAAAAATTCTTAAAAAAAAAAAAAGTGCAGCCAGACTGAGGACCACCTAGTCCCTTGTCCCGAGTGAGCTCCGTTGGGAGTGACTCTGTGTGTGTGTGTGTGTGTGTGTGTGTGTGTGTGTTTACTCTAAGCAGGGCAACAGGGGGAGATAGGACAGGGGGAAAGGGGCACTCTGGACCTTGAAGCTGCTGCCAAGCGTCTAGGGGTTGGGACCTCATGGGGAGGAAGTTCGCGCTCCCCCGCAGTGTTGGGCATGGGGAGCCTGGAGAAGGGGTGCCATCACCGTGGCCTACTCTCCCTTTCCATCGCCCCCCCCCCCCCCAAGAAACCGCCCTACTGGACCGCCCTCCCCCTCTCAGCAGCAGACCAAGGGCGGGCCTAAGAGAATGCAACAGTTCTTGCTGGGGGGAGGGCAGGGCGGAGAACAAACTTTCCCTAGGAGGAGAGAGACACTGCTTGTGTTGCAGGTGCACATGGTGAGAGGGGAGCTGGTGGACGAGTCCGGGGGCTCCCCTCTGGAGTGGATCGGGTTAATCCGGGCGGCCAGAAACCCCCAGGAACAGACTCTGGAAGCAATTGCTGATATACCGGGAGGACAGGTACTAAGCCCACACCCGGCCAATTCTTTGCTCCTAACCCTCTGGATGCAGAGCTGGACCTAGAGGGGCCCTTTCACGGTCTCAAGAAGCCTGTAAAACGCAAACCAAACCCACCGACCGCTATGGTGCAAACCCCAACTCCGTATAGGAGAGAGTAGACTGCGCCTTCGGATTGCTGAGACTCAATCTTGATATGAGTGAGCAGCCTGCCTCATCTTTTTCCCTCTGAGCAGCTGGTGCGTTTGAACCGCAGCTTTGTGATAAGCCGCTCAATGTTTAAACCTCTGCACCACCAGGACACCTTTAGATCGTTTATTTAATCTTTTATATTTTATTAACATAACAAACACAGCCCAATCACAAATGGGATTTGTAATATGGCAAAGAGGTTAGGGTTTACAACACTTAATGTGGTGGTGGTGGTGGGAGGGGAGCGGGATTCAATCCAGAACACTATTATTGTCCCCCTTTTAAAGAGGAGGAAAGTGAGGTTCAGAGAAGCCCAATGGGTTTTCAAGGGTCCCACAGCATACCTTTCCTCTCATTTGTCTGGACCAATTAGCCCAGAAATGACAGTGATCTATCCTATCTCTTCATCCCAGATCTTCTACCGAGCACTTCGAGATGTCCAGCCAGGGGAGGAATTGACTGTGTGGTATTCCAACTCCTTGGCCCAGTGGTTTGACATTCCCACGACTGCAACTCCAACACATGATGAGAAAGGTAAGGTCAGCTGGGCAGGAGTCCAGTCCTTCACTGGGCTTCTGCTGCATCCCCCAGATCTTAAGGGCTTTTCTCTAGAGACCAGTAAAACAGATCTGTGTGTGTGTGTATGTGTGTAGTCTGTATTGTTACTACTTCAAAATGGACAGTAAGTGGTAATAGCAGTTGAGTGTAATAACACTGAAAAAATACCCTTAGAAAAAAATGCTATGCTGAACTTTATGGGGTCATGTTTTCCCTTTATTGTAACCCCCCAAAGACCTTTATTTACTCAATCAAAAAAGAAAAAAAAGTACAGAAGTCTTAAAAAGATTGCTGCAGCAATAAAGTCATGGGTTCCAGAGAATAGAACTTTAACCTTTAATATTTTTAGGGGGTGGAAGGGCAACAATTATTCACGGATTTGGAGGAGAGAGATGCATTTCTACAGCATTTTAGAAGCATTACGGTACTTATAGCTGGTCAGTTGGCAGGTACTAAGGCCCTTTAAATGGTATTTATTCATCCCCCCCCCCCACTTAAATTGAATCTGGGATGTATCCCAGTTTCTTCTCAGATTTATTTGATCCCTTCCAAAGCCAAGAACGAATTTATGCAAATTAAGGTGCAGTGAGAAAAACATTTCAAACCTCCCCTGGAGTACTAAGAAGACTTCCTGTGAAAAGGAGACTGGGAGGTGCTGCAATATTTAAGGTCCCCAGAGTCTCTTTTAGTAGCTCCCGCTTCCACAGCTCTCCTTTTTCTTTGCCAATTGTTCTAGTTCGTAACTTCTCCTAAAGAACCTGTTATTAATGTGAACACAGCGAATGCCTCAAAATGTCTTAACATACCTCTCCCTCTTGAATGCTTGCTCGCATCTCATCCTTTTAGAAAAGAGTTTAAAGAAATTGAAACAAGTGAGGGAATTAGGAAGCACTTCATGAACAAGACAGAATTAAGCTTATTCAGAATGATGAGTCACTTCCATGTCAATTAATCCTGTTCTCTGGAACTTAATTCTGTTGACCTTGTGAGTAAATTTGCATGCACAATATTCATATGCATTTATCCTAAGAATGCTTGTTCTTTGCATCACATGATGTGAAACTCTTTTGTCAACTTTTTCCAGTAAGAAAGAAATATAACAAAAGCCTCTTGATGGAGAACTCTCAAATATGCCCCTGCAATTTGGAAGGCTAGTGATCCTCCTTAGGATGGAGACATTTCTGTACAAGGTGCTCTTTCTTGGGTACACCCAACTAGCACAAAAATAACTTGGTTGATTAGTGGCCCTCATATTTTGAGTTCTGACAAATGAGGTTAAAAATATATGGCAGTAGAGGTCGATAGGCACCCACCATATTCTTTTTTGGGAGATATATGGGTTATACTGAACTTTTGATTTTTTTCAACTTTGAGATGCTTGAAATCTTGACCTCTTAGGGATGCATGGAGGAGCCCTGGCGGCATAGTGGTTAAGCACTGGGTTGTGATCCTAAAGGTCAAAGGTTGGAAACCCACAGCCCTGCTCTGCAGGAGAAATATGGGGCGCAATTTCTCCAGTAAGCACTAAGCAATCACAGTCTCAGACACCCACAGGGGCAGCTCTACTCTGTCCTGTAGGGTCACCAAGAGTTGGCATCAACTCCATGGCAGTGAGTTTGATTTTTCTTTTAGGGATGCAGGAAAGAAGGACATCTCCTATGATGTGTTTTACTATTTGTGGCAGGGTTAGATCTCAGAGCCTGGAGAACTAGTTAGTTGGCTAGGACAAAGTGAAGACAAGACACGTTTCCATCAGAAATGTACCTTGCTTGAAAAGAGTAAGAAAGAAGTAGGAATGGATGCCACTCTTCTAATATTGGCTAACTTCAGGGAGTTTCAACTTCAGAGTAACGTTAAGGAAAAGACGGACCCTTTGATTTCAGAAGAATGCTTACTTGGCTTTGAAATGAACTGAATCCTTTGAGGCTGTTTCTGAAAACGACTTTTTAAAGGGTGGTGGATGAGAGGTTCCTAACACAGGAGAAGGAAGTAATTAGGTTAACATGCCCTGGAGGTCTCATGTTTTCTCTCTCAAGATTTATTTTACAGGAGTGTTGACTAGAAAATAACAGGAACAGACACTGTTTATCTAAATAGTCTAGAGACAATTAAAATAGAGTCTCAGGCAAAGTCTTCTCCTACTCTCCTTTTTCTCTCTTCTGGCCTCAGCTAGAATAAGCTGCTTTTCACTTGAAATTTCCTCTTAGTTATTTGGAGGACTAGACAGAAGTAAGATACATTAGAGGAGACAGATGTTTTTCCACTGTTGTTTCTGTCGAAATGTTTTAGAAGTTTGAGCTGCTTGTAGGAAGGGAAGAGGATTAATTTTTTTTTTTGACCAGAAGAGAATTAAGTTTAATGAGACTGAGGTACGCTTTGGATACTTCCTTGTGGCTCAACTAACTTCTCACAGTTAGTTCTTCTCATCCTTCTCTTCATTATTCTCAATTATTGCATTTAAAAAGAACTCCCAATGGCAAGATTGCGCTTTTCTGTGTGAAAACTCCCACCGTGAGACCAGAATCTGTTCCATACTGGGGTCTCTTAATTAGGCCTTGGCAAAAGTAAAATTCATGAGTGCTAATAATATATTTTTTAAAGGTTTGACACCAACAACAAGTATGTGATTCTAGGGAAAAAGTACACACTTCCAGGGAAAAAAAAGTATGGGATTCCCAAGAGAATTGTGCACTTATTTAAAAAAGGGAATGTTAAAAAAATTAAAAAGAGAATGTTTACAAAGTCATATCATATATCGATAGTATTATACATTCATGCAGTAAATAAAACAAAGGCATAGCTTCTCCAAGGACTTTACAACGCTTGGATTTCCATCTAGAAGTTAATTAGTGACCAGGTGGAACAACTGACAAGAACATGTAACATCATCCTTCAGTTTTTACAATATCAAGACAGAGAGCTTCGCTCTCCTCATCAATTTAAATGGAGTTAAAGAGGAAATAAAGATACAAATAATTTTGAACAATAGCAAATCACAGTCCCTATGTGGTCCTTCAGTTGGTCACGCTCCAGGAGAACCTCAGGCAAAGTGTTTAAGGCCTGGAGGGGGTGAGAAGGGTGGGTAGTGGACACAAAAGCCATTGTTCTGTGAAAAGGAATGATTACATATGGCCCATACATACAGGATATTGTCTCGCCTGGTAATGAGGCGCTCACGACCATTAGATTGGGCTTTGTTCAGTTTATCCAAACTCCTTGACATACGCCACTTATTCTGCAAACGCCAACAGATGGGCCCAGGCAAGGCACAGCCTCAGCACTTGATTTAAAGCAACAGCTGCTCTCTGCTCCCTGCTCTCATCTCTTACGCGGCCGGCCTGTCTCCTCGCTGCCATCCCACGAAGATTTGTTCTGCTGGCCCTGAGCAAGTCTTCCTTGGAAAGGCCTAGGTCACCACCCTTCTTTATCTCTGAGTAGTCACAGATGATGGAGAGGGTGACGAGGGTGGTCATTTGGGTGCTGTCATGGTTTCTTGCTACTGTAGGGCTACAAACTCATTCCCCCCACCCCCCGCCTGTTTTTGCGGGGACCCAATAATACTTTTTTCCTACACCTCTGGGCAAGACCTTGGGTCCGCAGGCGCTTGCTTTCTTTCCCGCCTGTTCGCGTCTCACGGGGTCGCTTTCCCACTCTTTCTTGTCCAGGAGAGGAGCGCTACATCTGCTGGTACTGCTGGAGAACGTTTAGATACCCCAACAGTCTGAAGGCTCACCTACGCTTCCACTGTGTGCTCGGCGGCGGCGGCCGCGCTTTCCTGCACCACGAGCACGCGGCTCGCCAAGGCGCCGCCCCCGATGGCCTCCGCCTCTCCCCGAAACCCTTGGCGCCCGATTTCGCCGGGACCGTCCCGACAGACTCTCTGCGAGCCCACTCGCTGGTCCCGCCGCCCCCTCAGGCCTGCGGACCCCGGGAGGGCATCAAGCGGGAGGCGTCTGCCGCGCCCTCGGCTACCTCGCCGCCGCCGGGCAAGTGGGGGCCGCCCAGGAGGGGCAAGGAACAAGCGGAGCGCGCGCTGGACATGAGCGGGGCCGCGCGCGGCCACGGTCACGGCCACTTCCTGGGCATCGTGGGTGGCTCCCCGGTGGGGGGCGGCGGCCTGGCTTTCTACCCCGGCGTGCGCTCCGCCTTCAAGCCTGCGGGTGTAGCCAGGGCGGCCGCAGGCGCACACGCGGACCCCTACCGGGAGGAGGCCACTGGCAAGCCGGGGACCCGGCTGGCTTTGGGCAAGCTGCTGGGCGGGGGCCGGCCG